TTTGACAGAGAGAGAGAGAGAACAGGAACACAAGCAGGGGAAGTGGGAGAGGCAGAAGCAGGCTTCCTGCCAAGCTGGGAGCCCGATGTGGGGCTTGATCCCAGGACCCTGGGATCATGACCTGAGCCAAAGGCAGACACTTGTAACGACTGAGCCACCCAGGCGTCCCAAGACAGCCAAGTCTTATTATAGCATGAGACATGAGTCAGTTTATCTCAACCAGGGGGACAATCTTGCCTCCCAAGGGCCACCTGGAAGGAGGTAATTGTCTGTGCTACTGGACTCTAGTAGATAGAAGCCAGAGATCCTGCTAATACAGCACAGGACAGTCTGCCCACAACAAAAAATTATCCGCCCAAAACGGCAACAATGGTGCTAAGGCTGAAAAACCCTGGCATGTAAGATAGCATAGATTATACTGATAGTCACTAAAGTTAGCAGGTATTATATAGTAATCACTAAAGGTTTGCCTTTGGTGCAAAGAAAAATGATCAAATACCCAAATATTAAGTGTCCATAAAAATCAAATACCAACTTTATGTATTATTTCTATTTGGAATACATCTGAGTTTAAACACACTTTTCATTAAAGATTCATTAACCTTTTAAATGCTAGATTTAGGGAATAAAATCTATTAAGGACTAAGAGTAAAACATAACAACACTGTGGAAGCATAAAAGGACTAACTATAGTCATAAAGGGTGGGGAAGGAGAGGTTAGTGTAACATGTAAAGAGCATGAAATGGAATTATACACTCAAGAAATCATGAAAAGTTTATTGTAACAAACACTGAGAAGAAGACTAGAATTATTTCATGAAAGTCCAAGATATAGCAGGAGTAACATGTTAATTATTACTTCTGAAAAAATAGTTCTGGAGGGCAGTATAGAACACAGAGAGAAGAGGCAAAAACAACATACAAAAGCAAACCTATCTAATGGTGCACAATGGGGCAAATGAGGATCTGAATATACTACCCCAGGAAGAGAATATTTTTCCAGCTTTTCAATTCCAGTAATATTAGTAACATTAAGCCACTCCACTGACTTCATATTTTTTTAATCAATTCCCCTATTTTATGTTTTTTTCCCTAACTAGACCAAAAGCTCCTTAATGGCCAAAATAATGTTTTACCTCTTAAGTAACATCACCAATATTGGCCAACCTACCATAGGTGAAAAAACATTTTTTATTTTAATGTTCACAACAATTTGCAACTACTGAAAAAAAATGATAAATAATAAACAAAAACAAGCCAAGTGAAAGAATGGCAAGAAATTAACTCCCTCAACAAAGTAACCAAGAGTTGACTGTAAAAACTGAAAGAATGTTTAAGATTATTTAAGAAAGACTCAGAAAACTTTGAACATCACAAGAATTTGCATTTTTAAGATTTCATTTAAAAATTTAGTATCATACCTGAAATGCCAGGACTTGAAGGATTTGATAAAGGTTTGGAACCTTCTGAAGATGGTTCTATTCCTTTAGAAAGAGATCCATCCACTAGTATATCAGCTTCATCAATATCATCACAAGTTCCTCCAATTTGGAGAAAATGAAGCTCACCACCTACGGTGTAATAAAATTTTATCAACACAGGAACACAGAATATGGATAAACATACAAATGCATACTACTTAGTTAAGAAACTCAATTTATTTTAATATCACTCAACAAGCAGATAAATAGGGCTGACAAAGTGACATATCTTCCAGAAATCAGAAATTAATCTGACAAGGTACTACAAATGGAAAATTTTAAAAAATGGCAACACAAACATGTGAAAACAGTTATTTACCTAGTACTAACTATGTGTAAGACACTATTTTAAATGCTTAAGTTAATTCATTTAGTCTTCACAAAAACCCCTGAGGTAAGGACTATTATTGTGGCCACTTTACAGATGAGGAAACTGATGCACTAGCTAAATATCTCAGCAGTAACAAAAATGAACAAAGATTCTTAATTTTTTGAAGCATTCACCATGAAATGAAATTAAACTGAATTTCTATTTTTTTGTATTTCTCACAGAAAAAAACTGAAAGCAAAGTTAGCAAATATTTAAGACAAAAATCAATGGATAAAAGAATATTCTAACAAAAGTAGCTGGAGATTCACTTTCAACATGACAGAATAAGGAAAATGACAACTCCTCTTCCTTAAAAGCAACGACAAAGCCAGACAAAACTGTCATTCAATCAGGGTGGGGCAAGCAATGAAAACCAGCAGAAGGGATGCTACTGCCAGAGGGGGCCCAATGGATTTGGAAAGCCATCAGTTTAAAGGGCTCAGTGGCAACAAAAATGAGGTGCATCCTGAAGTCAGGATTCTGCCCTTAATACAAAGTTACAAGAAGTGAAAGAAACATAGGAGGCTTGGTAAACTCTCCACATAATCCACAATGATCAGAGGCTGTACACATGTGTTACAAAACCAGATGGGGTCCAAGCCATCCACACATTCCCAGTCAACTAAGCCCCATGCAAATGCAGAAAGAGTTGTAAGAGGGAATGACAGAAAATAAAAATAAAGCAAATAAAAGCCAGGACACACCTGAATACAGCCTTTCTGGTGAAGTTACTTGGGCATAATCATTTATCAAAATCTTTGGCTGAATACTAAGCTAAGTGGACACAAAGGCAACAAATAAGAAACAAGGTTTAAAAGTTAAAAACCTCTGGGGGAAAAAAAATGACGGGAGATATCAGTGACTGCACACTGCAAAAGAAAGAGATTCCACAGATGTAGTCCTGATGGGTTACCAAACAAACAAACAAAGCAACAACAACCTCCAAAGAGGGGAAATCAGAATCCAGAATTTTGCAATGTTATTTAAAATGTCCAGTATTAAATCAAAAATTATAAGACATCTGAAGAAAGACTGACCCATGCTTAAGGAAAACAAAATCATTGAGAAATATCTGAGTTCCCAAAATTTGGGTTTGGCAGACAAGAACTTCAAAGAAGCTACTGTATTTTTATAGAATAAAAGGAAATCAGGTATGGAGAATTAAAGGAACAAATGGTGGAAATGACTCAACAAGTAAAAAATCTCAACTAAAAAACAGAAATTTTAAAGAACAAAAGGGGAAATTCTGGAGCTGAAACATAAAATACGTAAAATGAAAAGTTCATCAGAGAGGCTCAAAGCAGATTTGAGATGGCAGTAGAACAATCAGTAAAATAAAAATAGAGCATAAGAAATGAACCTATCTGAAGAAAAGTAAAAGATCTTTTAAAATGAAAAGCATCTCAGAGACCTATGGGACAGATCAAGTATAAGAGCATACATGTAATGGGAATTCCAGAAAAAGAGAACAGAAAAGGCAAAGAGAAAAAATTGATGAAATAATGGACAAAAACTTCCCAAATTTGAAGAAACACATTACACTGCAAATCCAATCAATTCAGTGAACTTCAAGTAGGATATATACAATGAGATTCACAGGTATATATGTTACAGTCAAACTGCGGAAAGTCAATGAGAAAACCGTAAATGCAACAAGTTAAAAATGATTCATCAGATCTAATAACCATGATGCAAATTAAGAGCGAACTTACCAAAAACAATGGAGGCCAAAGGCAACTGAATGAGATGTGCAGAAATAGTCAACCAATAATTCTATATACAGTACTATTCTTCAAAAAAGAATGTGAAATAGAGATATTTCAGGATAAACAGAATTTTTTACTAGGAGATCTGCCTTGTAGTAAGTACTAAAGTCCTTCAAGATGAAAGAAAGCACTACCAAATTTTATCACACACACACATACACAAACACACGTACCAGAAATGAGTAAGTAGGTGATGAAATGAGTAAAGTAGATGAATATATATTTTATCTCATTTCTTTGTAAAGTTTTTTAAAAGACAAAGATTGTATAAAATAACTCTTTTTGTTTGGATTTATAACTTATCTAAATGCAACATATAAGACAATGGTAGCACAAAGGGGCAGGAGAAAAAAGATTAGAGCAAAGTATATTTTACTAGAATTAAGTTATTATTATTCTAAAGTAGTCTGTGACAGATTAAATCACTAAGAACAGAACTCCAAAAAAGTATTTAAAAAAATATATCAACAAAGGCACCAGTAATGTCACACCAAATGGCAGAGTAGGAAGTTCTAGGTAGGAAGCTCTAGAGGTCAGCTACTGAACTAGGAAGTGACTGAAAAAAAAAAAAAGAAAGTGACTGAAATCAAGTATTTCAGAACTCTGGAACCTAACAAGAAACAATGACCAGAAGATGCTTGATAAAGGGAAAGGCTACTGATCTTTCATGGAAGTGGCCTGCAGGAACCAGCTGCCATCCCCTATTCCTCAGCCCTGTGCAAGCTGTGGGGAAAGCGGCCCACATTTCTGGAGTTGCTGGCTGGTGGCCAGAAGGGACCTTACTTCCTCATTTCACATATATGTATATATGTATGCGTGTGTATATTCTATTTCCGAACTTTAATCAAACATAGCTGCATCAAATCTATTATCTTCAGTATATTATTAATACTATTTGAATACTATTTGAAATTAACTTACAACATTTATTAGTTATAGATTTTTATCAAAAGGCTCAATGACTCCATGAGAAAAAGAGTTTTATGCTACTTGAATACACTCTTATGACATGTCATGGAAATGTCATGTCCTTTTGATTAAGAGCCTGTAATCCTTTTTAAAAATTTTTACAACTACTTTTTGGACTGTCATATATACATTTTAAAACATCAACTTTTCTTCCCTCTTTTTTGTTACTAATCTCATCTTTTCACATCTATCTTGACCAGTCAATCCTTGAAGAACTAGGAGATAATTTTCAAAGTGCTTAACTTCTCAGGCTTTTTCTTGTTCATTGATCCATCTGGATAAATTCCCTATCACATGAGATCGATTCCTAGAACTTTTCATTGTCCAAACTCCAAGAATACATTAATCTATTTAAACATTACTTATCCTCTGTCTCACAAAAGCATATCTCATCAAACAATTAAAATCATTAAACCCTGACTGTATTTCTGGAAAATACTAGTATCTAACACAGATGTGTCCTGGGCCTAGGTCACTCAGGTTCCAAATTCAGCTCCATTCTGGATGGCCTATGGCATATTAAATTGTTTTCATTCTTTAAATCTTTCACATTAAAAGATTCTTTAAAATTCAATGTATGAGTCTTCTTTCTTTTTTTTAAGTAGGCTCCATTACTTTAAGTGGGCTCCACACCCAGCATGGGCTTGAACTCATGACCCTGAGATCAAGACCTGAGCTGAGATCAAGAGTCAGACACTTAACCAACTGAGCCACCCAGATGCCCCTACAAGTCTTATGCTTTTGTTACATTCTAGCAGTATAATGTAGTTTAAGCACCCTGACAACAGATGCCCAGGTATGAATGCTGACTCTGTCATTTATTAGCTCTGTGACTTAGGCAAGTTACTTAACCTCTCCTTCCCTCAGTTTCCTTATCTGTAAAATGAAGACAATAATAGTATATACCTCATAAAGTTGGCATGATGACTAAACAAATTATGAGAAGTAAAGCTCTCACAACAGTGAACTGGCACATACATGATCAAAAACTTCAAATTATCCTTCACACCACATAGTATTTTAATGGTTTTTCTAAACTTTATCAACTCTAATTCAAAGTTTAATTAGTCTAAAGTTATTCTGCACTGCTCATTTTTAAAATTAATCTATTTGGGTTTTGATCTTATTTGAAGATTTTTCTTCCCCTTATTTCACTAGATGTATTTCAAAGAAGGCAATCGGAACCACTACATTCACCACTACTCTTCTTGGCCAAACTCTTGCAATCTTTTAAAGCGAGGAAAAACTCGGATTAATTCCTCCCAAGAACCACAAATGAGATGTATGATTCTCCTCACACCCAGGTCTTCTCCCAAGCACTGGTTATAGTTACCTGGGCTTCAAATACCTCCTGACCCTAAATTCCTACTAAACTATCAATAAGACTACTCATTTTGCCTGATATTGTCAGTAATCCGTTTCAAAAACTGCTTTATCTTTCCAACTTAAAATATATAATAAGAAAAGTAGGAGGAAAAATGCACACTATGTGTTACTCTGTATGGGGCCTCAAATGTTGCAAAGCTGATTCAACCATTAGCCAAAGGTCAGGAATAAATCAGAAAAGAAAAATTTATTTGGCAAAACTAGTATTCATTCGCTAAATATTTTTATTTCAGGAGGAAATAATGACCAATATATATACTCTGTGCCAAAAACGTTATATACATTATTTCATTTCATTCTAAGAAGCCTGATAACAGGCCTTTTTATCCTCGTCTATAAATAAACAAAGGTTTACTGAGTTTAAAGTAACTTGCCCAAGGCCACAAATTTGAGCAGATGCAGAGTCAGGACTCACAGAAACAACAGCAGGTTATTTTCTTGAGGTTAAAGCAGAGAAGATACTTTCTGAGAGACTTATTAACTTATTTACAATTAGAATCCTTACCTAGGGCAGTAGAAAAAAGTTTTAAAAAGTTAAAACAGTAGAAAGATTTACCGCTTCATTATAAAAAAAATAAATTTCTCTCCATCTATATGGATCTAAAATTCATACTAGGTATGCATATAAATGAATGCCATATACACTGATTTTATAAGATTTGTAGGAGAACCAAACAAACCAAGAGCTTACCTTTGGTGCATGCACACAGCCTGTCTGTGCCCGAGCAGTAAATGACAGAAACAAATGTGTCCTGTTCCTCAGTGCCCTCCTTTTTGGGAGGTTCCACTTTGGCCAAAATTTCAAAGTTTGAAAGATCTAATATTTTTACATATCCTCCCTGAGTGGTTATTACCAGGTGTCCAAGAGTAGAAATATCAGCCTTTTTTTCTCTTTCAATGCCATTCTTTGAGGTTAACTGCATTTCCTCAACAGGTTCCTCACAGTCATCTTCTCGATTATCCAATATATCTGGTGGAAGCAAAATGAGCGAGGTAATTGTGTCCTGGGGGTCTTTGATATGTTGGATTTTTATTGGCTCCTCTTCTAAAGTCACTATCCGAGTGGCATAATTCATTTTATAAAGTATTAAATATCCACCACTAATATTCCTCTGCTCAGGCTGAATTATCAAAGGAGTTTGTACATCTGCTGGTGATTCATGTTGGATTACACTAATATTTGCACCATTCACTACAGCAAGATTTGATTCCAGCTCACCTTTCCGTCTATTACATAGTGCAGAGTTTAATTTATTTAAATTATTCAAGGCCTCTACTTGATTTATTGCACTCAAGGATTCAACAGGGCATGTCCGCAGTCCTACCAACAAATGAATTCCATCAGCACAAGGAGTTAAGGAGTCTATACAAAGATTCTCCTCCTCTGCAAACTTTGGCAGCCTTAAGCACTGAACCAAAGTCCCAGGCTTGGGAAACACAGAGTTCCACTTCTCAGAATCTGGAGAGGTAAGGTTGGCTGCTGCATCTGCAAATTGCTGAATGTAAGTCACAGGAGGATCCTGCAACAACAACTGCTCCTGACTATCCAGCTCCATTTCAATAATCTGTGGAACTGTAAAACCATCATCATGCAAACTTTTGCTCATTATATTGTTCATCTGTGAAAATATTTTTCCTGCTTTCTCATCAGATTCCTTGATGCTATAAAGAAGCAAAATGGGTAAAGTCCTCCTTACCAGAGGAGAATTTAACTCTGAATTAGTGCAGGATTCATTGTCAGTTGACCCTTGTTCTGATATACTTTCACCCTGAGTTCTGCTTAAACCATCCAGTGACCTGTGAGAATTACTACTAATGGGTGAGGTAGCAGGAGATTTATATGTTAATAAACCTCCAGCTAATAAACATGGAAAGGGAATGTTGTGTTGTTCCTGGTGCTTTTCCTTTGTCTTTTCACTCTTAGAGTTTGTTAAGCAAGGATTTGCCCCAAGTTCTTCAAGATCCTTAACAGTATCTTCAAGCACATTTGCCACAATCTCCCACTGAAGTTTTTCAGGCTGCTGCAGAATGCTGAGTGCTGTTATATCAAGGCTCACTTCCATGGCTTCCTTCTGTGATGTATGCCCTTCGAAAAGGAACAATATTCATTAGAATTGGCCTTGAGATTGGCAAATCACAAATCTTTAGTATAACGCTTTTGTTACTTTTCTTACTCATCCAATCAGTGCATTATAATTACATAAGAGGAAGAAATTAAAGTATTTTAAAGGGAAGTTAATCAAATCTGAGGTAAATCTACTCAGAAAAACCACTGACGTATTCAAGAGAGTCAAAATCATTTTCAATTCAGAATATATTCTCTTGGCAATTTATGAGCAACCCTCCCCCACCCTTTTTAATTTATGAGAATGGTTAAAGAATGAAGACATTATTAGTATCAAAATATAGGATTTCTGTCCTTTAATTCTAAACCAAAAAACATTCAATACCATTATAACTATCACTTATGCACTTTATAGAATATCCATGAAACATGATTATATTGTCAGTTCCCCTTCTTTTACCATTTAGAAGAAGTCATAGCATGCTCTCCTCTCTCGTACCCCACCATGCTAATTATCAGTTGATTATCATAGTACGCAATGTAATTCTAACCTCAGCTTAGAAAAAAATTTTAACTAGGAAGGAAAAGTTCCCAAAATTTGCCATTTTAAAGTGAAGCATAAAGCATCTTCTGCATTATCTGCTAATTTATGCTCATTTAAAGTTAACTACATTACCCCTTATGATCTTTTGTCCATTGTGTGCTCTCCCCTTACAAAGAGTACAAAAGTCATTTCTCAGTCTCAGTGCTCCAAAAATACCACGTCTGTCTACACAAAACCTTGCAACAGATGTCACTCAACCCCTAAACCAGGTATAATCTCTTGATATTGAACTGAAAGTCTGAACCAATTTGTTTCTTTCTCAATAGCAAAAAATACTATCAGTCAACAACAACATTATTAGCAACAATGTCTAAGTATTTCTTTTTTTTTGAAGATTTTAAATATTTATTTGACAGAGAGAGAGACAGCGAGAGAGGGAACATAAGCAGGAGGAGTGGGAGAGGGAGAAGCAGGCCTCCCGCCAAGCAGGGAGCCCGATGTGGGGCTCGATCCCAGGACCCTGAGATCATGACCCGAGCTGAAGGCAGTCGCTTAACCAACTGAGCCACCCAGGCGTCCCAATGTCTAAGTATTTCTTATGGAAAAAAAAAAAGCATTGGAATTGGCTTTATGATTTTAGATAAGAAAAATACAGAAGAGTAAAAGAAATAAATATAACTCGAAACTGCATGAAAGTTTGAAAGCTGCCCAAGTAACGTGCAACTGAGATTCATGGAACATCATATACTTAACACGTACTGAAAGTTCTGTTCACACCATTTCTGTTAACTATTTCTTTAAAATGCTCACTGGCAGCTCTACCTCTAATTTCCCATTTTCTGAGGATAATCTTCTTAATTCAAATAATGTTGCTATTATGACCTAAAACTGAAACCATTTCTAGTTAAATGGAAGAAAATTGTAATTATACACTCAACAGTTTAATTGTCCTAATGAAGCTGTTCATTTACACAACCACTCGTTTGGCTATGTTCACATGCAGTCTGTCTATACTGCCATGCATTAGTTATATATATTAACTCTACTAATTTAGATTTGAAATTAAAAGTTGACAGTAAGATTTTGATACCATATAGTACACTATAATAAATCTTAAGGATGCTCAACTATCTTTTGGACTAAACTGAAACTTATATAAATGATTTTTCTAATGTGCGTGTTTTTTTTTTTTTAGTTATGGTCAGAAATTGCCAGGAAAAAACGTTAGTGTATGTATATAGAGGTTAAAAACAAAATAACCACAAATTACATGTATTAACACACATTTAAGAAATATTCAAAGTAAATAGCATAGAAAGTGGGGCTATTCATTACGACGGGCAGCATGACAAGTGGCATTATTACTCTGCTTTTTCCCAACAAAGTAACATCTAAGAAACAGCCTGTGCTGTACATTCTACTTCAGAGGACAGACAAAGCACAATGACAACTGTCAAATACTGCAGTAAGGAAATCTGTATTCTTATCTCAGAATTTCTCAAACCTACTGGACTACAAAACAAGTTTTTACATAATATAGCTATAAACAGACTGCAATACAATATTCTCCAGATAATCATTTTGGGAAACCCTTCTCTCCTCTGCTTACTTAGGTAGTGTCAGCCAGCAGTTCTATCAGCCAAACTTCCTGAGGTGAGCAACTAGGTTTTACCTAAGCACTTTTCTAAAACTAAGAAATTTCAATTTGAACCCTCCTTCAATCTCCTGTCAAACACTCTTCCCACTCTTCACAAGAAGCAAATATATCCTTAATTCGGTTATATGGCCCCAAAACCAAACTTTTCTCTCTGACATCATCTAGATACTTTCAAAAGCCATAACCTTCAAATGAAAAACAGGTAAAAGTCTCTTAGTTAAGAAATACATTCTGTAATTCTTCAGACTGTATCATTCACTTTGACGGGAATCACCTAGAGTTAGTAAATGTAAATTTTGAAATAGCATCTATGACTTACTTTAGATACTTCAGGAAAAGAACACATTTCCCATTCATATCACGAGCCTCCATAAACTCGCCAATAAACTACCAATGTAAGAGAATTAACTTAGAAGATATAGTAGTCCACCCCCCCCCTTTATAGGCAGGGGATACATTCCAAGAACCCCTAGTGGACACCTGAAACTGCAGACAGCACAAAACTCTGTATGTACTAGGTTTTATTTGTATACATACATATGATAAAGTTTAATTTGCAAATTAGGCACAGTAAGAGATTAACAGCAATATCTAATAATAAAATAGAATTATAATAATATACTGTATTAAAGTTAGGTCAATGTGTTTTCTCTCCCAAAATATCTTACTATACTGTACTCACTCTTCTTGTGATGATGTGAGATAAAATGCCTATGCGATGAGATGAAGTGAGGTGAATGACATAGGCATTGTGTCCTAGCATTCTGCTACTAGGTTATCTGCTCAGGATAACAGTTGACCTAAGGTAACTGAAACTGTGGAAAGCGAAACCCCGAGTGAGGTGGACTACTATCCCTATTTTACTACAAACGAATGAACTACTTATAAGTCCTAAAAGGAGGGAATTAAAAATTCTGAACCAGAAGAATTTTTTTCTCTTTCCATAGCTACCTTTTAATACTACATAAGGACAACAACCCCTACCCTAAATATGTATCACAGAAAAAGCCAACAAAAATACATGGTGACTTTCTAGATACCGGGAAGTGAGATAAACAGGGCTACAGTATCTAAAGGAAGTGTGAAAAAGCAACTAGGCATAGATGAGAAAGGTAAAAGTAGGAAAGGGATAAAGAAATAGACCAAAGATAGATACTATAATTACAAAAATACCTACTGAGATTATTGGACCCAGAGAAAAGAGCAAAGCTACAGCATACAAAGGAAAGGTTATGGTTAGAATCAAAAACTTTAAGAGCAGAAAAAAGGAACACTGAGCTCAAACACTTCACTTTACAAAGGAAAAACTGAGGCCCAGAGAGTTTAAGTGACTTGACAAGACCAAAGAGTGAATTAGCAGAAGAATTCAAGCTCTAACCAGGTCTCCAGGTAACCTGTGACCAGTTTATTATTCTTTCCCAGATTAAGAAAATGCAATTGTAGCCCTTTTCTGTTTTTGCAAAAGGACAACAAAATGGGAAAGGAGCATTACCTTCATCAGACTAATTTTTTTAAATGAATCTATTCTTTATTTTTCTAGAGCTAATTATACATTTGTAAATTATTCAGGGCATTTTCCTACTTTAAAATTTTTTTCATTGCTAAAAACTACTTCAAAAGACAACTAAGGTTTAACTCCAAATCAGTCTAGCGTTGTTTGGGGGGGGCTTTAAAAAAATTTCATGACAATTTAGAATTTAGAGAGCACTTGCTATTCTATACTCACTCTAATTTTTGACAACTGTACTATACAAAATCGTGTCTCTTCCCCCAGAGATTTAACAAGTTATATATGTCCTCAGTTCCTGAAATAGGACATTACAGAACAGCCGCAATTTAGTACCAGTCACTTTTTAAACTATTGGCTACTTCCCAGGTACTATTATTTTTATCTTAATCAGTCCCCAAAACTCTAATTAACAGATGTTAACATAACTCTTTTATGTATTGGGAAATGCATTCAGCCTATAATAAAATGACAAGAATTTGAATTCTGATATGGAAAAACTATTTTGAGATGTACTATTAGCCTTGCCTATTACAAAACTACATTAAAATTTGAAGCACATGCTTTCACCATTAACATTTCATAAGATAATGAGTAAGGCAGCACTTACTTGATGCCTTAATGTCTATGATTTTATACTTTAAAATTTATTCTCTCTTTATCTGTTTTATTTTGGGGATAAAGAACCTTAATTTCAGTATTACTTTTATTTAACAACAGAATAAATTATGCAAATAAACTGAACACATTCTGAAGGGCTTAATGTGTATTCCTTGACATCTGTGACAAAAATTTAGTAAAACTTTAACTTGTTTGGCTCAAATACATACCATTTAAAATTTAAGTATGGGACTCTACATATACTAAATCAAGATCTCTAATGTTTAACATTTGAGTTTTCTGTGTATATTAGTGAAAATGTAGAGTTTGCATTAACTAAGAAATTTAGAATTAAGTAATATTTAGCTTTACCTATAACTGTATAAATGCAAGGATTTAAACAAGAGATTATCTGACATTTTTAACATACCTGTCACAGAATCTGATCTGGAATGCTCTTCACTGTCTGAATCCTCCAGTAAATCATCACTTAAAGACAAAGTAAAAAATAATTTGAATTTCAAAAAAAGGTATGCATATTATGAGACAAAGAAAAAAGTTACAACAACCACTGCTCTGCATCTCAAATATAAGTATCACACAAAACTATTAAAACTCGCTTAAATGACATATAAGTAGTCTGAGATAATAACCAATTGACAATGCTGGTATTGGATTACCTTAAAATCATGAAATAAGTATCTGTCTGAAACAGAAAGTGGAAACCTCTAAGAATCTATAATAAAATTTGTAGGGATCTGAAGACTGTTAAGGTGTGACTGGGAATAGTCAGGTAAATAAACAGATAAAAGAGAGAAGCAGCTAATAAAATCAAGTACAAGCTTCAGGTAGTAAAATTTTAATAACTACTGTATTACTGAATTCAGGAAAGTTGTCCTAAAATCAAATAAAAGAGCTATATAAATACGTGTATATGTACACGTTTACACACACACACACACACCCCCACGCATTTCATTTTTGTGTTTGCTTTGTTTGCTTTGGAAGGGGTAATAAGAACTCCTTGACAAGCAGGGAAACCATTACAACTCAGAAGTTTGGGATTAAGAGGAGAGGATGTCCCTCCTTGACTCTTCACTCAGATAGTCAAGAAATTGCCAACCTCCCTCTTTGCATCCATCTTTATCCTCACTCTCATCTGTTAGCAAACAAGAACAAAATGTAATAAAAGATCACTCTAGCACAATATGAGACTGTGTCAGTACTCTATCAGCACGTCTACAGCAGTTCTAAAATTCTGATGACCTCAATTAAAAAAATTAAAAGATATATTTTGAAGGAAAGAAAGAAAATATTAACTCTCCCTTTTTGAAACAATGTATTTCACTTACAACTGAAATAACGAGGCACTTAAGTAATTTTAAATGAAATGCAAGTTAGTAATCTCTGTTAAAAAAAAAAATGTTTGAAATATGGGGCAGGGGCAGGGCTTGGTTAGACATTTTTGACAAATTTCTGTGTTTTAAGTTTTTCAAGTGGAAACTGTCCATAAAACAATTCTGTGCTATAATTTAAAACAACAAAAAAGGGGCGCCAGGGTGGCTCAGTCATTAAACGTCTGCCTTCAGCTCAGGTCATGATCCCAGGGTCCTGGGATCGAGCCCCGCATCAGGCTCCCTGATCGGCGGGAAGCCTGCTTCTCCCTCTCCCAATCCCCCTGCTTGTGTTTCCTCTCTCACTGTGTCTCTCTGTCAAATTAAAAAAAAAAAAAGATTTAAAACAACCAAAAAAATATGCAAAAGTTCAAGATCAGCTGCTAATTAGCCTTAAGCTATTTAAATGCTAACTGGCTGATTTCAGAGAAATAATAAAGATACTTGGAAAAATAAATCCCAAGAGGAAATATTAATCCTTGGGAATTATCCAGAATAAAGAACTCCAAACCAAGAAGACACAAGCGGTTTCAAGTATGGGTTTTCACATTAAAAGAAAACCAAGTTATTACCCAGCTATAAGGAAAAAAGGTTAAATAAAGTAGTTACATATTTTATTTTTTATTTTATTTTCTTAAATTTATTTAAGTAGGCCTCACGCCCAGTGTAGAGCCCAACACAGCGCTTGAACTCACGACCCTGAGATCAAAACCTGAGCTGAGATCAAGAGCTGGATACTTAACTGACTGAGCCACTGAGGCGCCCCAGGTAGTTGTATATTTTAAAGAAGGAAATCAAGGTGTCTTGATATGAAATTACAAATAATGTTACAAAGAGTTGCCAGATAATCACCGTAACTGGAAAAACAAAAGTTCTTTCTAAAGTTTTTCAAAATACAATCTTTTTTCAAAAAATTTGACAGAAAAATTCTCATACCATTACATAATAAAATCATATAAGTTCAATGACTGAATTGTACACTAAAAGGGTGAATTTTATGATGTATAACTATACCTTAAAACTCTTAAATATGGGTTAAAAAAACACATAAGTACACATTAAAAAATTTATATATATAAATGTTAACATAACTGGACAACATGATTATGGGTACTCTACGTTTCTTCAAGGTACTTCTTTCTCTGTATTGTCCAATTTTTCTATGTTAAGCATGCATTAGGTTTATAACAGACACTAGATTTACTAAAGCCTTTTACATGTGCAAAACCTTTTGCAGAGTAAAAAAAAATGCAAATTAAATAGGATATTATGAATAAGTTTTAAGTTAGGATTATCTATTTTTTAAAACTGAAGATACACTAGTTATCACATGCATACTTTAGCTTTGATATATCAATACTATATAAACAAGTTCAAAGTTAAAAGCAGGAAATATTTACCAATTTGAAAAATACAACATATAAAATGAGACAAAAATGTTAATTCATTTAAATTAAATGTGTTCCCAAATAAATAATCTTCCTTCCCAAATAAATATTCTTCCCTGAATAAATTCAGAAGAAAGATAAATGTTATCTTTCAAGTAGAAATGGTCATAAACAATCCATAAGCAAACTATACTGCTAATTAAGTTTCTTGGCTAAGTTTTAATTTGTTCAATTAACATACTATTCTTTGAGCTAATGAAACTCACACAGTGTATTTTAAAACAAATATATTGTATATTATGCCACAAAATCAGTATTAGTTTGGTTCAGTATATTCACTACCAATGCAACAGAAATCCTGCTACCTTTGGGGGGAGGGAAAGCAAGAGAGGGAAACTGAGGTTAGAGAGGAAGTTCTACCTCTTCACCTTCCTCCTACCTCCCCAACTTAAGAGTACTCTTTCTGTATGATTCACTTCACTATCTTAGCAGAAAAGAGTCCTTCTACCCTGGAAAGACTACCTCTTAAAAGCACGCAGATATTTATATCTCAACTCCAGCACACTACCCCAACATAATACCTGTCCACCTAAGATACTGGGTGTTTACTGAAAATGTACATTTTACCTAAGTGTGTGTGTGCGCATGTGTGTAATCTTAAAAAGTACGTCTTGATTCAATTTTTTTTTTTTTTTAAGATTTTATTTATTTGCGAGAGAGAGAATGAGAGACAGCATGAGAGGGAGGAGGGTCAGAGGGAGAAGCAGACTCCCCGCCGAGCAGGGAGCCCGATGCGGGACTCGATCCCGGGACTCCAGGATCATGACCTGAGCCGAAGGCAGTCGCTTAACCAACTGAGCCACCCAGGCGCCCTTGATTCAATTTTTAATCCCCAAATTACAAAACTCCAAGACGAAAGTTCTAACTATAATCAGTGTTCAGGGGCACCTGGGTGGCGCAGTCGGTTAAGCACCGACTCTTGGTTTCAGCTCAGGTCGTGATCTCAGGATGGGGCTCCACACTCAGCATAGTCATTTCAGATTCTCTCTACCTCCCCCTCTACCCCTCCTGTTTGTGCTCTCTCTCTAAAATAAGTAAATAAATCTTTTTTTTTTTTAATTTATTTATTTGACAGAGAGAGAGACAGTGAGAGAGGGAACACAAGCAGGGGGAGTGGGAGAGGGAGAAGCAGGCTTCCCACCAAGCAGGGAGCCCGATACGGGGCTCGATCCCAGGACCCTGGGATCATGACCCGAGCCGGAGGCAGACGCTTAACAACTGAGCCACTCAGGCGCCCCAGTAAATAAATCTTTAAAAAAAAATAAATTTAATTAAATCAGTGTTCAGAAGCACATACCAATTTCATTATCTTCTATTAATTTTTCACTAACTTCTAAGAAAATCACAGAGCTCAAGCACACTTAACTTTCTAGTCCAATTGACAAATGTGATCAAAAGTCAGAGAGCAGGCCACCTGCTTTTCCATCAAGCTGGGAATTTATTCACACAGATTTATAATAACTGAGAACAGCCACGAAGCTTTAATTCAGTCTGTTTCAGAGCTCAGGCCACATTCATTTACCTACCCATAATTTATTCATCTTATTACCAAGAAAGACTAGACAGAGGTAACCTTCCCAACTACTATACTGTGAATTTTCCATTAATTCCATTAATGAAACAATTTGCACTAATTAAGTTTTACGTTAGTTTTTTTTTTTTTTTAAGATTTTATTTATCCACTTGACAGAGACACAGCGAGAGAGGGAACACAAGCAGGGGGAGTGAGAGAGGGAGAAGCAGGCTTCCAGCGGAGCAGGGAGCCCGATGCGGGGCTCGATCCCAGGACCATGGGATCATGACCTGAGCCAAAGGCAGACGCTTAACGACTGAGCCACCCAGGCACCCTAAGTTTTATGTTAGTTCTTAATGAAAGTACATGCCACCAAAGGGACTGTGAAGTAAAATATTGTTAAATCACACTGGCTGTGGTATAACGTCTATCGCACATCAGTAACATTAGAAGCCCCTGCAAGTGAAATGACAGATCGCCTCAGCATCAGGACACCTGATCACAATTATAGGCTCCATTTCATACTGCTACCTTCAGAATCTTAAAAGGGAGTAGCTTCTACTGCTTGAGACAAGTTGAGTGGTTTTTGGAACCCTTCATTCTGTCTGCTTGAGAATACTGCACATGTTGCTCTATAATCCTAGCCCAGTTCAGAGTTACAACTGCAGTGTCTTGGGAGACAAGTGGGTAAAGTAGAATTATACTTTGACTCTCCAACCCCCACACAGATCAAATACAGCTACAGAAATCAAGACTGTCAGAAAAGCTGAAAGGAAAAGAATCCAACACAACAATTTTACCAAAATGTCTCTACAGCAATAATTATCATGCCTCAACTCATTGCTGACTACTGATAAACTGTTTTAAATAATCAAGTCATCTTGCCTAGCCACGGGTTATTTCACTATTCATTAGCACTTCTACAATTTGAGGTGCTAATGAAAACAAGTGGAAACCAAAATCATTTGGTTCAACTGCACTAGGAAAAGATTTAGAAAAACGTAAAATAAGTTTAATCCAAGGATTCTGTTTCATTAGACTTTATTTTTCAGTGCACCAATTATTTCTAACTGGCAGAGATTGAGACAGAAAATAAAGTACATTTTACAGACGATGGCATTTCTGAATGAAAATTTTTCTCAAGTATCACACAGCTCCTTCAGATATTATAATTAAATGTTTGTTCTCTACTCTCTTGAACTAATAATTTTTTCTGCCCCTTTAATTAGAATTAAGAGAATATAAAATTTAGGAAAACACATAACTTTTATAAATGCCACTAAAAAAAATTCACATACCTATCTCCTTCCAATTTTGGTATGTCTGAGCAGCTAGAGGAGTCCTCCAGCCACGCCAAAGTTGGTCTCCTTGATTCAACTGCCGAGCTTGGTTCTCCCGACAGAATAAGCTGTTGTACAATTGCTGGGTCATATGCATTAATTTCAAACTTCAAGTGCACCTAAACGAATGAAAATCCTAAGTTTAAGACTGATTTTTTGCTCAATTACTAATCTGTTACTTCAAAATTAAAACATACCTTCATAAGTTTGGAAACATCCCATATGCAGATCTTTCCTCGTTTTGTTGCAGCAGCTAGAAAATGAGGGCAGCTTCCCGACCCAAAGCAAGCTATTCTGTCAGTTCCATCAGTACAGGGAAACTGTGCAGGACTTGTTGCGAGAGTGACGGACAACGGCACATTCTGTGTGTGCTCACCTTTCACAAACGGGCAGTTTGGGGAGTGTCTCTCGTGTTCAGACCTTTACACAGATTAAGGAAGGAAAGGTTTACTGAACAACAAAGCTGTCAAGTCTGTGGATTAAAACAGAACTCCAGGATCATCTTTTCTTTTTTAAAAAACAAAGTATGATTTATTAAAAAGACTCAAATGCTACTTCATTCAATCCTATCACGATCACTCTAACATATTCAACCCCTCACTGTAGTAGCAGATTTTATTCCCTTTAATGGATTACAAATAAAATCAGTCTCTGATGAAACAAAAATGCTATAGTATAATTTATACTATATTCACATACTGATAAAATGGTGTAAAGTCTGGTATTTCCTCACACAGTTTCCTACAACTGTAAATAAGTAACTACTTTGTTTCGGTTTAAAATTGTCCATAAAGGGGGGCGCCTGGGTGGCTCAGTCGGTTAAGCGTCTGCCTTCGGCTCAGGTCATGATCCCAGGGTCCTGGGATCGAGCCCCGCATCGGGCTCCCTGCTCCGCGGGAGGCCTGCTTTTCCCTCTCCCACTCCCCCTGCTTGTGTTCCCTCTCTGGCTGTGTCTCTCTCTGTCAAATAAATAAATAAAATCTTTAAGAAATAAAAATTAAAAAAAAAATTCTCCATAAAGGTACAGCATGGTGACAATAGCTAGTAATATTTTATTATATACCTGAAATTTGAGAAGAGGACATGTCTTAAATTAGATCTTAACACATGTACACACACCAAGTGGTAACTGTACAGATGATGGATATATTAATTAGCTTGACTGTGGTGGTCTTTTATATATACCAAAACAGCAAGTTGTACACTTCAAATATATACAATTTTTACATGTCAAAGATATCTCTATACAGCTATTTTTAAAATTAATTATATATAATTATATGCCTATCTGTATTTATCAGTGGCCACAACTGTAAATGACATATAATAAAAACTCAAATGTCATTCATATCACAAAAAACTTTTTAGTAAAGATCTGAAAGCAAAAAGATCTATAGAGTATGGATAAAATGACCTATATTAAGAACACAAAAATACATCTTATACATTCACTACAGGACCAGACCAGATAAATAACTTCTAAACAAAGTCTCTTTTCAAAGTAATACAGAAAGATAATATTCATAGACTGTACATTATTTCTTTCACATAAATGATTAATGAGCAAAAAGAAACGTTAAATTTCTTTACTTAGAAAATTCTAACATGTTTAATAAAAAATACAACACTAGGAATTCTCAAGACTAGTATAATGACTTTAAAAATCTTCCCAAATATTGAAAGCAGGATCAACTTTAACACTTAAAAATTATGTCTCCTTAGCCTGGTGATGGGTATTAAAGAGGGCATGTACTGAATGGAGCACTGGGTTTTATATGCAAACAATGAATCATGGAACACTACATCAAATACAAATGACGTAATACATGGTGATTAACATAATAAAATTTTTTTAAAAATTGTATCTCCAACTTTGTGACTACTTTCTTTCTGGTTATTCTTTTTTTTTACTCTCACTAGCTGTAATTACAAGGCACTATTTGAAATGTCAAGATGCTGCTACCAAAAAAAGAACTTTTTTTTTTTTTTAATTTCCATGGCAAAGAAAGGAAAACTGTACTTATAAAATATGCCATTCCTTAGGGTGTATATATTTCTTTTTACAAGGCACCTGTGACTTACCTATATCCATATGTAAACCCTGGACAATTTGCAATATGCAGACGTCTTACATAATTGTTTTTACATGACACCCCCAAGCACATTTTTTTTTTTTTTTAAGATTTTATTTATTTATTTGACAGAGAGAGAGACAGTAAGAGAGGAAACACAGCAGGGAGATGAGAGAGGGAGAAGCAGGCCCCCCGCCGAGCAGGGAGCCCGATGCGGGGCTCGATCCCAGGACCCCGGGATCATGACCTGAGCCGAAGGCAGACGCTTAACCGACGGAGCCACCCAGGCGTCCCCCCAAGCACATATTTTGACTGGATTCCCTTTCCAACTAAATCCTACGGTATTTTCCTCTTTCCATCCTTCTTTCTTCCCTGAGTTTTAACTTTTTAATTAAAATGTTTTTATACAAGTGACACCTAACTATATAAAAGAAAGCTAAATACCACTCAATTACAATATCCAATCCCAGTAATCTCTTTTCCCACCTCCAAATAACGTCTTTTATGAATTTAAGTGGTATACTTCTAAAATATTTTTACGTTTTTATATATATATGTACATGTAAGAAAATTCTCATTTTAAATAAAAGTACTACTGTATGAATCATCCTACAATAAACTTCTTGACACAATAACGTAACTAAAAGTTACTGATGGTGAAGAATAGAGAGCAAACTATTGATTCCTTTTCACTGTTGGACAATAGGAGATTATATGAGCATACCACATTTTATCTGGCTATTCCATCCTGACAAACATTTAAGATGATTCCAGTTTTTCACTGCAGTTACCATCCACTCTGTGCCTCTGTGCATACAACAGGAATTAATTTTCTCAGGTATATAAGTAGAAGTGGAATTGCCAGATATTTGCCAGGGCGTGCTCATTTTATTTTTTAAATACTTCAATCTCCCTCCAAAGTAGCTCTATCAACTCCCACCACCAAAATATGAGAGTCCCATTGTCCACCTGCAAGTCTTCCTTCTTTTCCCACTTACAGATTCGGGAGGTACCTAGGCTCAGCTTCCCAACTCTCTTCAATCCTGTTCCCTCCTAACCATTTAGAACACTGTGTCCTCAAAGCCCTCAGAGATACTACCAATTGCTTAAATTTGAGGAATCCTGAATCCTGGGGCAAGAAGAAATAGAATCCTCAATTCCCTCACCATGTCAAGAAAAGATAAGTTTTGACAGCCCAAACTGAATATGTGAATCAATTTCCTCCCCCAAAAATATTTATGAACAAAGTTACATTCTATAACGTCAAGGTATAATTTTTTAGGGATGGCTGAAATAACTGAGGATCAGCCTGGGAAATTAAAAAATACATGTTAAAATCGTTTCTATATTATATAAATAGTTTCTAGGGGAAAAGACTGAGTTCCAAACAGAACCTTAACCTAAACTGGAAACCGCACACGTTCAACTCTCAGTCCACAGACAGATGCAACTTCAATTTCTCATACAGTAAACCGCACTGCAAGCTGGAATCCATATGTACACTCCAATAGGCTTTAGCTAGTTCACCCTATTCACAACAGCTGATTAACACTGAGAGACCTCAAACTAATTTTACTACAAACCAAATCCTTGCTCCATCACTAATTAGTCATATGCCCTTTGGCAAATTTTATTTTCTTTATTTACAATAGGATAATAATTCCTATCCCTGCTATAAAATGAAGATAGTAATGCCTATTTCATAGGGTTAATATGAGAATTAAATGAGTTAAAAATATATAAAGTACTTAGGATGGTACCTGTTAAGTAGAACTATATAAATATTTGCTCTTATTATTACTATTTCTATTAATAAGGCCTGTTATTTGTAAAAATTAGGTTTCAATACACGATCTCTAATGTTTAACCAAGTTCTAAACTTTCATCCATTAGAATTCAAAATTACCACAGACTCCCTAAAATTACTTCGAAGTTAAAAAAGTAAAATCATAAGGCTCTGCTCTGTGGATTCCCTACCGACAGGTTGCCTGCAACTGACCAAGATTAAACTGCTGAAGTTAACCATGTTGTATCAACTTATTTATCATAGCCTTCTGGTTCAGGGCCTACATCTATTCTTTGGCACTTCTCCCATGTAGATTTTAGGAAGTCAAGACCTTAGTTACTATATGCCAAGTGATGTGACAGAGCATAGACAGTGCTATTTCATTCTCTTAGGACAAAGGCAAAAATACAGATGGAAAAAGGCAAGAATATGAAAAACAGAAAATTTAGAAGCCTACTTATAGGATTAACTTAGCCTATTACATTCAGAAAAATAAGAACTCACCAAGGTTCATCAGTAGGTTCCCAACAAACGAGACATACACTACAAGTAAAACACATGGCTCTATCATCTCCAGATGAGGCAGGCTGCAAATTTATAAAGACAGAAAAGGTTAATATTAAAATAACCTTTTAATAAAAACTCTTCTAAAAACGTTCATAATCTTAGGTAAAAAGCACGGAGGAAAAGACAATTCGCCTATACACTGATTCCAAAAATACAGTGAATGCCCAAACGTTTAAAAATTTACTACTTTATTTGAAAAACTGTGTTTTGTCAAAAAATGAGCACTAAATCAAACATGGAGGCACACACATACTCAATCTCTAATAGCATCTTCTAAATGCATTACTGAAGTACCTGAAATAGTTAAATATATAAGGAAATAGAGTGTAACATATTTTATTATTAAAAACTGAATATCATACAACCACACAAGAAAGGCCAAGTAAAAAGGAAAAGCAAACTAGAGAACCTAATTCATGTAATATTCTTTAATCACACAGGACAAAATGTCATATATATAAAATAATACATCAAAATCTGAACTAAAATATAGCTCTGAAAACAAACATTAATATTTTTGAGGACTTACTCTACTTAGCACCTACTATGCATATAGATGTAAATTCATTTATATTTTTTAAAATTAAGAATAATTGGTCCTTAACACAGGCAGAAGATTCTAGAAAATCTGTGACTTGATCTCTTCGCAAAGATGGAATACAAGGAACAATAATTCAACAGAAAAAATACCAAGGCATCACTTCACAGAGACTGTTTTGGGAAATGACACCAAATAGCAATGAAGATAAATTATCAGGAAAAATGGTCCATATTCAAACTTTAAGTTACAAAATAATTTCAGTAATACTAGTATCAGCCAGCCTCCAAACTAATCTATTTTTAACTGGAAATCTGAAAGACTGTGAGTAAAATAGTCAAATATAGATGAATTTCTGATTTAATTTTAGTTAAGATATTCTGAACACTTCAAGATAACTAAGGAATAATCACTCTTCAGACTCTTTACAATAGTTACTTCAATGTATTTCAAAGTTTAGTTGAATTCTAAAATTAAGTAAGCATGCTTTATGTAAACTGACATGTATTAAATTGCTTAGATTCTTTAGCAGTGGTAAGCCATTCTACGCTACCCAGTTTAAGCCTCCTTTAATTAGTAATTATGCCCATCTGAAGTCATTTTTCTTAACTTCCCTCTACTTTAGCTCAGTGAACCTCTCTATAATGTCCCACTCTCATCTTTTTGTCACACGAATCCCTCTACTGTACACTTTCCTCTTTTCCTACATATATCTATTTTCCTTGACTAATCATTCCTCTTTCTGTGCAATTTCTTAATCAGTTCTTCAAAGTATATCTTCAGGTTGCACTGTACCACCCGCAATGCTGCTTCTACAGTTATACAGAAGTATGTGGGTAATTTATATCCCAATCAAAATTAGAGTTTCCCGGGGTGCCTGGGTGGCTCAGTTGGTTAAGCGACTGCCTTCGGTTCAGGTCATGATCCTGGAGTCCCGGGATCAAGTCCCGCATCGGGCTCCCTGCTCGGCAGGGAGTCTGCTGCTCCCTCTGACCCTCCTCCCTCTCATGCTCTCTGTCTCTCATTCTCTCTCTCTCAAATAAATAAATAAAATCTTTAAAAAAAAAATTAGAGTTTCCGGAGTAACTGCAATGTGTTACTTTTGTTGCATTACCCTCAGTATCTACTATTCTGTTAGGAATGTAGAAATTATGAAGTGAAAATAAACACACATCCAAAGAGAACACTTTTCAAAAAGCAAATCTGAAGAATACTGCCTGGCTTCTGGAGGAAAATAGATATGAAGCATTAACTCAGTTGACTTGTAACAACTATTTTTTTTCCTTTTTGTACACAATACATAATATAGGAAATAGTATTCAAAGGTACAAGAAAAAAACAAAACTCACACAAATGCATACACACAAGCACACAGTGAGGTTGCATAAAGCAAGTTCTTGAGAAAGTATTAAATATTGATGATTTTACTGAAGACTACAAAAGCTGAAAAAAAAATGTTTTTTGAGTCTTTTTTACCTGATGGTAAAATCCAGCTTGAGCCATGGGATCCGGCTGTGCCCATCGATAGCCTACATGAGGCCATGAGGTAAATGTCTCCCGTCTGTTAGCTTCACTATACATCAGCGATCTACAAGTAAACATACTTTATGTAATCGAAATTAGGCATCCTACTGAAGGAAAATTTTACTGGATTATCAACAAAAACTGGGAATGGTCTAACGACCAAGTTCAAATGTGTATTTTAAACTAAAAATGATCGCTTTTAGGAATTTCCCTTAAACACTATAGGGAAAAAGAAACCTGATTGATGGCTACAACTGATAATTTTAGGGGTAGATTAAATTAACGAATGTTACATAATTACCAAGCAGAAAACACAAAATCTAGAGACATAAAGACAGAGAGTCATATGCTTTCATCATGTCCCAAGTTTGCATAAATGGCTAAAACCACAACCAAAGTGGTTTTATCTCAACCATGTCGAGAAAGTATTTTCCAGTTTAATTTTTTTTTTTTTAAGTAGAAAGCTATTTTCTTTCTGTTCTTTCTCCAGAGAAATCCTTTTTTAGAAAAGCTGTACTCTCCAGGGAACTATAAAAATAGAAAATCTTCATACGTGTTTTCATATTAAAGTATATTAGCTCACTGAGTAAACCTATAACCTAGAGTATTTTTTAAATGAGTTGCTTTTTTAAAAAAAATTTTTTTAATTTACTTTTTTAAGTAAGCTCTATGCCCAACGTGGGGCTATGACGCCAAGATCAAGAGCCGCATGCTCTACCAACTGAGCCAGTCAGGCACCCAATCTAAAGTATTATTTTAAAGAATGATACCAAACTTAGAAACAGTCCAAATGGCTTCAAGAAAGAAAGGACTGGTGAGCAAAGGTTACTCTTCTTAACACAAAAGTGCAAATGACAACAGGAAGGAAGGAAGGAAAAAAAAAAAGAAAGTGGTAAAGGTCATCACAGTGAGACCAGAAAAATACTTTTCTCTAAATTCTTCCCTAAATTAGTACATAATTTCCTATAATACTGCTAGTGAGCTTATTAGGTTTAACTCATAGTTGTGTTCTGGTTTGAAAAAAACAAAGTTGGATTAGAAAAGCCTTATCATTTACACGCTATAGATGTCTTCAGGATCTGTGTCAGACAGAAAACCACCCACTTACTTATATTACCAAACAAAAGAGCAATAGCATCTAACAGACCCTAACTCAAACCTCCAACAGACCTAAGTTCATGAACGTCCTCATATAAGTTCCTACATTCATTCTTAATGAAACAATTACCACAGACTACATCAAAATTAGTATTTTGAGACATTTAAACACCTCCAGAAACACAATATCCTATCCAGTGAGTGAATTTCCTAAAATAGACATTCACCACAGATTACACAGATTTCTTTAGAAACCCAGCTACTATTTGCAAAGAAAATAGCTCTGAAGGGCTGTTTTATAATCTCAAGATAGGCACAGCTCTAGGAAAAGAAATACTTATTCCAGGTACATTTTTCCCCCTCTCCAGACATCTTCTAAGGAATATTTTGATAACCACACCCCGTTATCACCCGGTAGATTAAAAATGATAGTCTACATTTGCCCAAGAGACAAGACAATGCAGTGTTACTATAGAATATTAAAACCCTTCCCAAATGTTAACACAACCAACAGAAGTTATTTACATAATAACAGAATCACTCAACAACAAAAAATAGGCAACTGATCAAGCAAAAGTCTCAGTTTACCAAGAGCTAAGCTAGTAAGTATCGCAAACTAATATAAGAGCCACACTTAATAGAAGTTAATATATTCAGTAGGGGCTTTGCTAACATCAGCCTGTACTATTTATAAATGTACTTTAGAAAAAAAGCATAGGAAGTTATAATTCACATCTAGTGAAAATGTGAAATGCTACATGGGAAGGCAAATGTGAACTTACCAAAACTGCTAAATTTAATATTTCATTACAGCATTTCTAAACTTTATACTTTTGGTAAGAATCTGATGTTATGGGTCAACTGGGTGGCTCAGATGGTTAAGCATCTGCCTTCAGCTCAGGTCATGATCTCCTGATCCTGGGATTGAGCCCCCAGCTCAATGGGGAGTCGGCTTCTTCCTCTCCCTCTGCCTCTCCCCCCGCTCATGCTCGCTCCTCTCTCTCAAAATGAATAAATAAAATCTTAAAAAAAAAAACGAATCTAATATTATTTCAAACAACAAATCATTTTTTAAATGAACATATTACTATTGGCTTTTTTACAAAGTTTTATACAAAGCAGGACCTCAACGAATCTCTACTGAAGAAAATAACGGTTGAGGTACGATTTCTGTAATACACTGTTTAAATCCAGGGCAGGCAGCATAAAAATCTTAATTCAAAATTGCCCTAATTGATTTTTTAACTCTTTTCCTTTTTTAAGTAGAAAATAATATATGGCTCTTATACATAGATTCTGGCACAGCTTTTCAATTTATGAAAATTCATCTCAAAGGTCACAAAATTTCATCAAGACAAAATAATTCTTACCTATTGAATAATTATATTTTCACGTAGACTCAAATATTTACTAAATATGGAGCTGGAATTTTCAAAACGGTTTTATGACCCCTTTAAATACCTTCCAAGCACCAAGAGAAATTGTTTAACAGCACTTCAAGTACTAATTCACTTCATTATTTTTATGAGAATCTGAATGTTTTTCCAAAATACTCTGAAATACGTTTTGAATCATAATTAAATTTTTGTTATTTTTGGTTAATCCAAAAACCTAATCAATTCAATTTCACTGTAACATCTCTTTATAAGCAAGGTTATACCTGTCCACAGAACGGCCTGGCCCCACTCCAAGTTCTGGACGAGCACTAGGTAAGAGGTAAGACAATCTGTCCATCACTGAGGATGCCACAGGTAAGGCAGCAACATTTTGATTTATTTTCTTGAGTTCATTCACAATGGCACTGGCAATGGACTTCAACACATGATGAGGAAGATGAAATGTAACTGTGGCCCACTGAAATAAATTGGGAGTGTAAGCAAAGGAAAATGTACTCAACAGTTTAAACCAAAACTGTAACTTATACATTATAAAATAAAGAACTATTCATTAGTCTCAAGTTCGTTTACTCCATTAATTCATCATTTAAAGCAGGCTCTTACAATTATTTAAAAAAATGAAACCTCAATTAGAAAAAGACACCTTAAAACCTGATGGTAGCACATCTTCTTACATTATGTATCAACAATTTAGGATAATAAAAATCATCCATTATTTTTCATATTCCTCCAGCACATTTACAACGTTAAGCACAAACCAGGCACTCTCTGTTCATAAGAATGTACTTGTACAGTGTAATGATACTGTACATATGCGTAGGCATATGAGGATTTACTTCAGTTTAGCAGACTCCTAATGTATTTATTGTTGTCACTATACACAGAGTAACGAAAAGCACAGATCTTGTCGTCACAGACTTGGATTCCAAGACCATCTTTACCATCAACTACGTGACCCTGGTCAAATTAATTTCATTCTCCCGCTTCTGCAATATGAGGAAAAACGAATACCTACTCACACAATGTTCTTATGAAAATTCAAGTGAGAACTGGTACAATGTTTAATACAGTAAGCATTCAATAAATATTAACTACAATTATTTAACATTAAAATTATTTTAAAAGTTAGAAAGCAAAGATGCTAAGTATTATTCTTCTGGAGAAATAAAGTCTATAAAATAGTTTCATTTCTATATCCTTCCCTGCTCACCCTATGATTTCCATTCTGTCTAGTACATTCTAGGCAGCCTACTAAATTATAACTTATCCATCCAACTAGAAAAATTTTTGGACAGAAACACGACTTGAATTGCTAGAGAGAGAGAAAGCGATAGAGACAAAGAAAATGAAAGCCTCTTATTTTGTTCCTAGAACTAACCCATTCATAGATCCAGAGCCCCTTACCTGAATCCCCTTGAGAAAGGGCACTACAATAATGCCCCATCATACACTGTAAATCGTACTCCAAACATTCCCCAAAGGTCCCTGCAGACATGCACTACTAGCGTCCCTGTCCACTGGGAAATGGAAAATATTGTGATCTTTCAGGCTTTACAAAGTAGCAGCACTGAACTGATGTAAAACATCACTGTGGTCCACTAGTGAAAGTAGGGACTTATGATGGTCAAATGGTTAATAGAGTTCTGGCCCAAAGTTATTTCCGTGAGCTCTGTGGATCCCTGTACCTATCTTGTAGTTATTTGTCCAGTTCCCAAAAGCGTAACTGGAAGAGATATAAAACAGGCAACCAGAAAAATTTCCACATTGTTTCTCTAGTCCCCTTTAAGAACTATTAAAGGAAGAAGGGCCAAGTGAAAACCCCTAGAATTTCCATTCTCTACAAACCTACTAAACCAGAGCAAAACCACATTCCTGAGGAAATTTATGAGATTAACACCACTATAAGAGATCTAAAAAATACAGGAGAATTCAAACTATCTCACCTTCATTTAACTGGCCTGCTTGGCCTATGCAAAACATAAAAGGATCTGAAAGAAAAACTGGATTATAAACTATCAGGTGACTTCAATTGCAGCTGCTATTCCAGGTATCTTTACTAAAGCAAATCAACAAGTCCCTTGATATCTGGTAGGCAATTACAGTTCTGTGAAATACTTTTTTTTATACTAATTTTTTAAAAAGATTTTATTTACTTATTTTGACAGAGAGAGAGAGAGACACAGCGAGAGAGGGAACACAAGCAGGGGGAGTGGGAGAGGGAGAAGCAGGCTTCCCGCGGAGCAGGGAGCCCGACACTGGGCTTGATCCCAGGACCCTGGGATCATGACCTGAGCTGAAGGCAGACGCTTAACAACTGAGCCACCCAGGTGCCCCTCTATACTAATTTTTAAGAACCATCCAAAAGTAGACTGCTTTTATCTGGCAGTAACAATCAATCTTCAGTCCTACCCTGGGACTATTGCTCATGTTCTTTACCATATCTAGTCTGTAGAAATCTTGATCAACTTAATAACCGCAGCTCACCACACTGGTCTACTACATCATGCTGTAACACACTGTAACATCACTCTGGCTGGTCCAGATGAGGAGGAAGTAGCAAGGAGCTTACATGCCTTACTAAGACACAGCAAGCCAGAGAGGATCAATAATGCCCAGAAAAGGGCGCCTGGGTGGCTCAGTTGGTTAAGCGACTGCCTTCGGCTCAGGTCATGATCCTGGAGTCCCTGGATCGAGTCCCGCATCGGGCTCCCTGCTGGGTGGGGGGTCTGCTTCTCCCTCTCCCACTCCCCCTGCTGGTGTTCCCTCTCTCACTGTGTCTTTCTCTGTCAAATAAATAAATAAAATCTTTAAAAAAAATAATGCCCAGAAAAACTCAGACTACAACCATTGTTAAGTTCCTAGAAGTCCAGTGGTCTGAGCATGTCAGGGTATTTCCTCCAACATGAAAGACAAGTTGCTACAACTTATAAAAGCAAATAGTGAAAAAGAGGCACAATGCTTGGTGGGCCTAATTGGATTCTGGACCCACTATCCGACATATCTGAATGTGCTACTCTAACTCAATCATCAAAGAATATAGGCACAGAACAAGAAGCTCTGCAGCAGGTCCTGGCTGAACCACAAGACGTCCTGCCACTTTTACCACTGAGCATATACAATGACACTGGAAGTGTGTACAGCAAGTAAAGATGCTGAAAGGCCTGTCTGGCAAGCTGAACTGGGACAATCACTAGCACAGTGCTAGGGTAAAGCCACAACCTCCCCTGTAAATAACTGTTCTTTTCAGAACAGTTTCTGGCTTCTCAGTCCCTGACAGAAATTCATACCAATCCATGAAATAATTGTGCGATCAGAGGCACCTGGGGGGCTCAGTTGGTTAAGCGTCTAACTCCTGATTTCGGTTCAGGTCACATGACCTCAGGATCAAGAGACTGAGCCTCGCCTTGGCCCCGCACTCAGTAGGGAGTGTGCTTTAGATGCACTCTCTCCCTCTCCTTCTGCCCCTCCCCCCCTTAAAATAAACAAATCTTAAAAAAAAAAATGCCTGTGTGATCAGAGCTGTCCATCGTAAACTATATGTTGTATGACACACCAAACCATAATACTGGGAACAAAAGACAAGTCTCTTTTCATTGAGTGGTTTACAAGAGATCAGTCTTGAGAAAGTCCAAAAGGCCAGTTTTGGACAAGCTGAATAAGCAAGTAACTCAGACTTCTACAATACTTACTCTCGTTATAATCCCTCCTTCTCATTCTACATTGATGGCTTCACAGAGAACTCCTTACGAGGTAATTGTGGAAGAAAACCCTTGGCTCTGATGTACAGATGGTTCTGCACATCAGGCTGGTACCACCCTAAAGTGATGGCTGCAACATTACAACCCCAATCAGGACAGCGGGGAAGGTAAATCTCAGTGGGCAGAACTTCAACCAGTATATGAGGCTGTGCTCTTTGTCTGGATTGAGAATTGTCCATAAGTGAAGATCCTCACTGATAAACAGACAGTAGCTAATGTTCTGGCTGGATGGTCAGGCATTTGGAAAGATCAGGACTGCAGTCAAGGGTAAAGGTGTAAGGACAGACCTCTCAAAATAAACAGATTGGGAAAATATTTATGAGGCACACAAATGCTCATCAAAAGACATCTACTTCAGAGGAAATGGACAAATTATACACATTGTATGAATGTCACTTACCCTCTCTCCATAGCCACTCCCAACGCTTTGCTCAATGGACCTGTATGCAAAGTGCCATGGCAACAAAGATGGAGATAATACAGGTCCAACAACACAAACATCCCCTCACTAAGACTAACTAGGCTACAGCTTTTACTGATTGCCTAATCTACCAATAGCAGATACCAAAGCTGAGCCACCAATATCACACCATTTTCCAGGGGGAATAGCCAGCTATCTGATTACAAGTTGATTATACTGGATTCCTTCAGCCATGGATTGGGCATCAACTTGTATTCACTATAATAAATATGTGTTCTAGATATGCATTTACTTGTTCTACCTAAAATGCTTCTGCCATACTATTAAACCCCTGCCTATGGACTAAGAGAACGGCTTATGCACTATCATGGTATTCCACACAACTTTGCTTCTGACCAAGAAAGCACTTCAAAGCAAAAAACAAAACTAAACAAAACAAACAAGAAAAACACAGCAATGGGCTCCTGCCCATGAAACTGACTGGTCTTACCATGTCATCATCCAGAAGGAGCTGGCCTGACCAAAAAAAAAGTGTAGTGCCCTATCGAAGTCTCATTTTCAATACTAATTGGAAGAGAGGTTCTACCTTATAGGATGATGAATATGCTTAGAATCAAAACAAAACAACAACAAAAAACACCTAACAATTTCTCCTAATAGGGTCGCTATTACACTTAATACCCCATTCGAAGATTTTTTTCAAGCTTTAAGCTCTAGGGGTCCTACATCCCAAGGGAGGAGTGTTCCACCAGGAGTACAATGGTTCCATTGAATTATGTGTTGAGACTGCTACCCAGCAATATTGGGCTCCTCTTGTCACTGAATCATCAGGCAAAGAAGGCAGTTATTCAGCTGATTGGTATGATTAAAACTGACAAGGGGAAACTGGATTGATGCTAACTAATAGGGACAAGGAGAACTTAATTAGAAACCAAGAGAGGCGACTGGGTGGCTCGGTTGGTTAAGTGTCTGCCTTCAGCTCAGGTCATAATCTGCTTCTCCCTCTCCCTCTGCCCCCCTCCCTGCTTGTGTGCGTGCGCTCTCTCTCTCAAATAAATAAAATCTTAAAAAAAAAAAAGAAAGAAAGAAGGAAAGAAACCAAGAGATCCTTTAGGGTGCCTCTAAGTCCTTCCATGTCCAATAGGAAAAGTGAATAGGTGATTACAAAAACTAAAACAGCATCACTGAGGGTGTAAATCCTGCAAAAGTGAAGACTTGGGTGGGTCACTCCACCATGCAAAAACAACTGACAGCTGAAATGCTAAGGACAAATATGAAATAGGTAGTAGAGGGAGGTTGTAACTATCAAGTATATCCTCTTGACCATTAAAGACCTGAGGGATATAGCAGCTGTGAATATTTTCTTCCCTTCTTATTACACATGATGGATGGATGTAGATTCACATCCAGATACACAGATGCAGACAGACATATAGACCTATTTTATGCAAGAATTCTGGATGTAGTTAGTCTTTAGGTAGCACAGTTTTATTACCTAAACAGTTGAGACCTAAAAATAACTAAATTTTAGTAGTTAGTATCACCTAGGGATAGGTAAAATATCTATTGGAACTTTGTGTCTCTCAACTTTGGGGATGGGGAGAGGGAATCTTCATGTGTAAAAAGTAAAAACATAATATTTTTGTTGTATTAAAAGTTCAAATATGCACAGAAAGTATGTATGGAGATGCTGAGTAGCAAAGAGTACATTGTGCCAATTATGAAACTATTATCTCTCAGTTCCAAACTGACCTGACCCTTTATTTCTCTTCCCTATCATTTTAAGGCTGGAACTCTGCAAACTGCATTTCTTCTTTCCCAGCCAGATTCCTGGCTGTAAGGTTCTGACAAAAGGAATACAGGATGGAAATTAGAAAGCATGATGAGGGTGGAAAAGACTTCCCCCGGCTATTACTTGTCACTGCTGTCAACGCTGATTCAGCACAGGACCTGGTGGCAGCAGTTGATTCTTCTAGTCTTCTGTGTTTTGTTTACTTAGCATTCCCAGAACCAGTCTCATAGAGCTCCTCAGAGGTAATAACACGAGCCAAGCAGCACCTCTCTTCAGAGATCCATGTCTCAGCTCCTCAAGCTCTGATCTCCAAGCTCCTGAGGTACCAGGTGGACAGCAGCTCCTCCTGAGAAGCCTGGATCCCAGACCCACAGAGCCTATTCTCTAAATCTGTAGGTGCTGACCACCCTAAGCTCCTGTTCCTTCAGACCTAGGTGACGGCGGCTTCCCGGGGTTACTATCCATATGCTTCCTCAGGGCTTCCTTTCCACTTCCTCAGTTCTCAAACACATGTTAAAATCAATTCCTGACGATAAATTCTCTTTGTTGGAATGTATAGTATGGTTTCTGTTTTACTAAATAAAATATTCCATCAATGGGATAAAGTTAATAATATTATGGTAAATCTATATTTAAAAATTCAGTATTAGGAAGGATGCAGCTGAACTGAGAATTAATGGGAAAAATACTCAAAGATACATTCTTAAGTGAAAAAAAGCAAGGTATATGCTATAGTCTGAATGTGTGTGCCCCCTGATCCCCAAATTCATCTGTTGAAATCCTAACCCCTAAAGGTGACGGTATTAGTAAATAGGGCTTTTGGGAGGTACTTAAGTCATGAGAATAGAGCCCTCTGAATGGAATGAATGCCTTTATAAAAGAGGCTCCAGAAAGATCCTCTGACCTCTCCGTCATGTTAGGACACAGTGAGAAGGAGCCAAGTATGAACCGGGAAGAAGGACTTCACCAGAACGCAGCCACGCTAGCACCCTGATCTTGGATTTCCCTGCCTTCAGAACTGTGCACAGTAAATTTCTGTTGTATGTAAGCTACCCAGTCAGTGGTATTCTGTTAATAGCAGCCAGAAAAGATGACATTACATCACATTTTAGTATCACCACAATTTTACGTAAGAAAAAAGATACTTACAAATGCAAAAATTATTTTTAGGAAAACAGTGTTTACCTTCTACCTTACACCCTTTGGTACAAATATTTCATATGTATTACACTTATAACTTAGAAAAGAAAGAAAAATCAGTAAAATATATCCAAGGATTTAATTCAAAGCACAGTCTCACATAGACATCCTAGTCACGCCTACCAAAAAATTATTTCAACAAAAGCCCAAATGGCCCCATTTCCAAAAACATATTCCATTTCCCAATGAAGCTTATCACCTAACAAGAAAGTCTCTTTCATCAGCCTCTCGACCAATATAGAGCTACCAAGCACAGAAGCTTTAGGAACAAAGTAAGCAAAATAATTCCCACAAACTGAATTTAGACTTCAGGAAATAGTTTTAACTTTTAGATGATTTATAAACACATTTTGTTCTCTAAAAGAGAGAAATCTAGAACTGGAATATTTCAGTAGGTGGGTGGTGGAGAGTGGGAGAAAGAGAAAGTGAAAGTATGGAGGTATTCTTTCTATTACAATCCAAACAAGGTAATTTTTTTTTTTTTTTAACTTCTTACCTTAGCAACTTTGTGGTTGGCTGCAGTCTCATGGGATGTATTTTTTAAACCATCTTTGAGCTGTGTGATGAACAAATCATAACCCTCCGTACTAGAAATATCTACCTTTTCTAAACATGCTGATAAGAGCTGTTGTGCCTAAATAAAAAAGATGACCACAGAAAATTAAACACAACAAAAAAATGTTACATTCAGATCCTTATTCAAATACTTTAATTTGTAATGATTCTGACAGGTACTATAACTAAAGTTTACTACTTTTACTTTTTTACACAAACTAAAATCACATATAATTAATCATATATTGATTTGAAGGGCTGTTATAAATTAAATGAGATAAAGCAATGTATTCAGTGTAGTACCACAGAGTGAAGTTTCAATACATGGAAGCCATTATAAACCAAAGCAAGATAGAAAAAAATGGATAAGCTGATACCATGAACAAAAATGAAAGGTAAAAGTTTAAAGAGATAAATGTAAAATCCTTCAATGAGTTTTAAATACTCAAACTATGCAAAACCGTAAAAGGGAACATTCACTAAGTCAACAGGTAATATAAAAAAGCCCTCTGTATTGCTACCCATATATTCAAAAAGAACTACTTTAACAGAAATACACAGTTAACATATGGAAAAGAATACATCCACACTGATCCAACCAAACCTAGGACCCCATACTTTAGTGAAGACAGTGACAAATTAATGTGCTGTAGTAAAGGATGTCTGGGATGGTAGAAGGTCTACAAACAGTATTATGCAAACAACAGAATTGTAATTACTTAGGTACATAGAAAATCAGCATCAGATGTTAATGGCCAACAAGATAGAGGAGGTGATAGAAGTCAGGTAAATACCTAACACTTCAGACAGAATATGAAAAATACTGATTTGAGGGTCTATTTCATCATAAATATTCCAATCTTATTGTAATTCTCTAGTTCTTTTTAAAACCTGAACAGTTTGATACCATCTTTCATCGCAGAATATATATATATCCTTTATTAGGATATCAGCCTTATTAAGTTATCATCTAGTATAAATTCCTCAAATTAGGAGGAAAAAATGTTCAATACAACTAAAACTAATTAATTCTCTATCCAAAAATTTTAGACATGACCCCAGATCCAAATATTCTGATGACAAAAAGAGGGCTACTCTCTTTTCAGAATTCAAACTTTCAGCAACATACTTTCAACAATAACATATCACAGACAACTGTGTTACGACACTAAATGTGAAATCTAAGTGGATATATGTTAGTATCTTTTTTTAAATAGCCTTCCAAAAAGAGAATAAAAACATTTATACTGCATTTTATATATACACATTGACAATTTTCATGTCCTAAAAATGGGCAATATGCTATATTGCTTTTATCAACTAATCATACCACCAAATGCAAAACAATTCATAATTAACAACTTGGTATAAAGACAAAAATGGTATCTCACTTTATTAGGGAACACAGCATTAAGATCTTTTATATTTTATTTAAGATGATTTAAAATCTAATAACTTTGAAAAACATACTTTCAAATTACACCATATGAACATCAACACACACTTAAAGAATTTAAATTAGGGTGAACCCACAAATTAAGTAATGAATATTTAACACTACAGAAACATATGTATGACTAAAATTTTAAACTGGGATTGTTAAAAGACATGATACACAGTGAAGATTACTGGTTGTCCACTAACACTCATTCCTCCCTTCCATCTAATATTTAAAAGAAGAACTACCTCTTTCTCATTCTTCTCAGCTTGATGTGACCATGTGACTAAATTCTGGCCAATGGGATGCACATGAAAAGGGTATATATGAGAAAGTTTGTTAGAGAGAGCAAGAAAGAATGAAGGTGAGAAAGAAAGCAGAAGGGAAGGAGAGGGGGAGAAGAGACGAGAGAGAAACACAGGGAGAAAGGGAAGGAGGGATCATACCAGTGTGTTCCCCTGGACTTTTGCTTTCCCTTTCGCTACGACTGGGAAATACTAATGAGACCTGGAACAGCTGTCATGAATTCACGGATGGAAGCTAAGTGCTGAGGTAAGCAAAGTTAACCCTACATTTAGCCCTGTACTGTTACTGAAAAAACTATATTGTCTAAGCCACTGTATTTTGGTGTCTCTGTTACAGTTTAACCTGTATGGTTCACACTTAACTACCACTTTGATAAGCATCAATTAATTATACAGAGGAATTAAACAAATGGGATCAGTAAGTCAATTCTTTGCTAAAAACAGGGATACATATATAATGTCCTCAAAAGACAACCTAATTTAACAGCTAATAGGTCTGAGAGTACATTAAGTAGAAAAGTACACTGATTTATTTCAACTTACCTCCGTAACAGGTAATTCAAGCTGAACCACATCATCCTGCTTTGAAACTGGAGTTTGCAGAGCAGTGTCTAACAACAAGATTCCATTAAGGTCCTTCCTACACCCTACTGCATAATCATCCACAAATATAACTTTATCCACCGCAGATATATACTGACATTTCACCTGTCCACCTGGTTTAGCTGTTAAAAGAACAAAAATTCGACACTTAAGATTTAAAGACTAATAATAGTCCATCAAAAATAAATGTTTACATAGAAGCTAAATACAGTATCTAATCTTGCACTGGAAAAAATTGCTCTAAAAGACATTATTAGAACAACTAATAAACTTGTAATATGTACTATAGATTAGATCAAAGTATCATTGTGAAACTGTCAGAACTTGACAACTACAGAGCTATTATAAAAGAGAATATGGGGTGGGGGGCGCCTGGGTGGCTCAGTTGGTTAAGCAACTGCCTTTGGCTCAGGTCATGATCCTGGAGTCCCACGATCGAGTCCCTCATCAGGCTCCCTGCTCAGCAGGGAGTCTGCTTCTCCCTCTGACCCCCCCATGTGTTCTCTCTCTCTCACTCTCTCTCAAATAAATAAATCTTTAAAAAAGAGAGAGAAAATATAGGGGCGCCTGGGTGACTCAGTCAGTTGAGTGGCCAACCCTTGGCTTTGGCTCAGATCATGATCTCAGGGTCCTGGGATCAAGCCCTTGTCAGGCTCCATGCTCAGCAGGGAGTCTGCTTCAGGATTCTCTCTCCCTCTGCGCCTCCCCTGCTCTCTTTCTCTCTCTCAGAAAGATAAATAAATCTTTAAAAAAGAGAGAGAATATAACTGTTCTTAGAAATAAACAGGGGTGCCTGGTTGACTCAGTTGGAAGATTATGGGACTCTTGATCTCAGGGTCTGGTGTTTGAGCCCCACGTTAGGTGTAGAGATTACTTAAATACATAAAACTTAAAAAAAAAAGAAACATAGAAATAGTAAAGGGTAAAGGGGCATGGTATTATGCAACCTATTCTCAACAGAGCAAAAGTATTGTGTAGGGCGCCTGGGTGGCTCAGTTGGTTAAGCGACTGCCTTTGGCTCAGGTCATGATCCTGGGGTCCCTGGATCGAGTCCCGCATCAGGCTCCCTGTTCGGCGGGGAGTCTGCTTCTCCCTCTGACCCTCCCCCCTCTCATGTGCTCTCTCTCATTCTCTCTCTCTCAAATAAATAAAATCTTTAAAAAAAAAAAAAAAAGTATTGTGTATATATGTGTGTGAATGTTAAGAAATGTGGTAAAGCATTTAAAATTAAAATTGGTAGAACTAGGTAAAGGGTACAGGGAAGTTCTTTGTTCTATACTATTTCATAATTAAAATATTCAGAACAAAATTTTTAAATATTCAGTATTTGTCATTTTTTGCAAAAATTCAATAAGCATAAAGTCAGTGTGGCCAGTCTCTAGGTAATTACCACAAAAGTTTTCGGGGGATTTTACATCTGAGATAAAATTATGGAAAATGTTTATAACCTAGGTTAGAGAAATAGTAAAGCCTCTAGTTCACCCCCCACTGAATAAACACAGTCAACTACCGGTGAAGATCAACGTTCCCCGAAGTTTCTGCTGAGTCAGTATCGGAAGAGTATTTTAATGGAGAAAGTCAGTGAATACATGACCCATAAAATTTCTCAGAATAAGTCAGGGCGGAATTTCAGAAGTCTTATAAAAAACAGTAACAGGCAAGAGACTTTGAATACCAAAAAAAAAATGTTTTAAAGATAACATCAGTTTCTATACTTAAATTTATAGACTTATAAGGTGATTAATGTTAAGTGTTTCTGCCACAAATAGAGAGTCTCTGTAAAAAGACTTTAAGGAATGATCAATTGTGAAATTTTATTCCATTAGAAAAGATAATTCCCTGTGGGCAAGTAATCCTGCTGCCAGTATACCTCATCCTAAACTCCCACAACTCTACAGAACATCCCAGTAACGAGCTCTGCTACTACCTAATGAGACAAAAGCAGAAAACTAGAAATAAATCAGAGTCCTAGTTTTCAATCTCTAGGTCAACTATAAAACATGTTATAATCAATGAATATTGGGTTGGTATTCTTTTTTTTTCCCCCCAAAGATTTTATTTATTTGACAGAGAGAGGGAACACAAGCAGGGGGAGTGGGAAAGGGAGAAGCAGACTCCCAGCTAAGCAGGGAGCCCAGTGCGGGACTTGATCCCAGGACCCTAGGATCATGACCTGAGCTGAAGGCAGACACTTAACGACTGAGCCACCCAGGGACCCCTGGGTTGGTATTCTTATTAGTATTTTTTTTTTTTAACCCCTGGGTTGGTATTCTTAATCTCAGATTATTATAGCTCTTTGGACTCTAACAGACAGCTTGGAGGCATTACAAAACTGATTAGGAACTAATTCATTATCTACATAAAACAAAACAAAACAATCTATAGTTCAGTTTCAGAATTGGAGGTTTGAAATATATGTTAGCATAAAGGAAAATAATCTGGGGCGCCTGGGTGGCTCAGTCGTTAAGCGTTTGCCTTCGGCTCAGGTCATGATCCCGGTGTCCTGGGATCGAGCCCTGCATCGGGCTCCCTGCTCTGCGGGAAGCCTGCTTCTCCCTCTCCCCTCCCCCTGCTTGTGTTCCTTCTCTCACTCTGTCTCTCTCTGTCAAATAAATAAATAAAATCTTTAAAAAAAAAAAAAAAAAGGAAAATAATCTCTGTAATACAATAAAACAAGAATATTTACCTAGCACTTCTAATACCTAGATAAAACCACAAGAAACACAAATTATAGAAACTCAGTAAAATTGTGTAAGAACTTGCAAAGATCATTTCAAAACTCCAAAACTCATTAACTATAAATATTTTTAAGGACTTCTTTATGGGGTGCCTGGGTAGCTCAGATGGTTGAGCATCTGACTCTTGGTTTCAGCTCAGGTCATGATCTCGGGGTCATGAGATAGAGCCCCGCATCCTGCTAAGAGCTCAGCGGGGAGTCTGCTTGAGATTCTCTCTCCCACTCCCTCTGCCCCTCCCCCTACTCTTGCTCATGCGTGCGCTCTCTCTCTCAAACAAATAAATCTTTAAAAAAAAAAAAAAGCTATTCTTTTTTTAGAACAATTTTAGGCTTCCAGCAAAACTGAGTAAAAGGCACTTAGATTTCCAATATATGCCCTGCCCCCACACATAACTATAAAATTTTGAAAAACAAACTGCAAATTCTGCTTTACTGTTTTAGGTATGTACATTTAAGTAACAAATTATAAAAATTATAATTTTTTAAAGCTTTTATTTATTTATTTGACAGAGAGAGACACAGCAAGAAAGGGAACACAAGCAGGGGGAGTGAGAGAGGGAGAAGCAGGCTTCCCGTGGAGCAGGGAGCGCGATGCGGGGCTCGATCCCAGGACTCTGGGATCATGACCTGAGCCGAAGGCAGATGCTTAACTGACTGAGTCACCCACGCGTCCCAAAAATTATAATTTTGTTAAAAGTTCCCAAGAGAAGTACAAGATGTAAATGTCGAGACTCTATACCAATTTCCAAATGGGTTTCCATGCAACCCTAGAGAATTCCATCCAAATCATGCCACTAGAGATTCCTCAACAGATCTTGACTGAAAAAAAGTCAACACTGTTTTTACAACTTCTTATACACTATACAACACTAGCACTCAAAGTAATGCACAGTGATCAAGCAGTCCTGCTGACAATTTCTTCAGGCCAGTATAGCAGCATGCAGTAAGACTGTGTTCATTAGGATGAGTTCATTCCCAGTTTTTGACCTTAGTTAGGGAAGGTCATCCATAAGCAGAGGGCTGTACTGCACAGGGAGAAGAAAGGAGGGTATTATCAGCCATACCCCCTTGAAGGATCTTCTGAGCTCATAGACCTCATTTCAATTACATCTGCAAAAATCTTATTTCCAAATAAGGTCACAGTCTAAGGTTCCATGTAGACATGAATTTTGAGGGAAGATTATTTAACCCACTACCGACCCTTTCTCTCAATCTTTTACTCAGCCTGAAGACTTTATTTTTCAGAGGACAGCTTTGTTAATGTACCCTGACAGTATGCTCAAGATGAGATTTACTCTTCTGCCCCTAGAAAAGTCCTAGATGGGGCACCTGGTTGGCTCAGTAGTAGAGCATCCAACTCTTGATCTTGGGGTTGTGAGTTTGAGCCCCATATTGGGTACAGAGATTATTTAAAATAAAATCTTAAAAAAAAATCCTACATTTCTGTGCAAGAAAAGTATCTTGCAATGAATAAAGAATATTTTTGGAACTTTTTAACTTCTTACATGTTTGAGCAAGTCTTTTCTTATTTAGGAAGCAACGAGACAGGACTGAAATCCTCTAATTTCAGTTAAAAATGAAATCCAAGCATGTTTAAGTCTGACCCAGAATTGAGTGTTTGTACAGCAAAAAAAAAAAAAAACACAGGTTTCACAATCAGGTAAATTCAACATTTATTTTTAGTCATAAGAATAACCATTTTAAGCACAGAAAGAAAAAAGATGAAGAAATCAAGAAAACTATAATAGAGCTTGATTGTGTCACTCAGCTAGAAAACATGTTTTCTAAGTCTTGTAGAATACTGAGTTATACTTTTATTCATGATGCTTTGATTCATGATTTTAGTCGTATTACTATTCAACACTCAATATATTTTAATGTTACCAATAATACTGATAAACTTACGACCTATACTTAAATTATATCTCCCAAGACTACCTTTAAAAAACTTAAATCCCATTTTGGCATGAACCATTTATTATTTCATTTGCCTTATGAGTTTAAAATATCTGAAAATAAATTTCTCAAAGAAAGGTAAGCTATGCTTAACTAATGTTTGTTATGTTTTCCAAGAAGAGTTAGCTAAAAAGTTATTTTGGGCTTTTAAATAGAAGGAAAAAACTGGGCGCCTGGGTGGCTCAGTTGGTTAAGCGACTGCCTTCGGCTCAGGTCATGATCCTGGAGTCCCTGGATCGAGTCCCGCATCAGGCTCCCTGCTCGGCAGGGAGTCTGCTTCTCCCTCTGACCCTCCTCCCTCTCATGCTCTCTGTCTCTCATTCTCTCT